TTAAAAATTGTTATTTTACGGTGATAATCTTGTTTTCTTGTGCCCAATAATGCATAATTTCATTTGATAAACACGTTTAGATTGAATGGTAATTTATAATCAGTCACAAGAACGTCGAATCTGAATCACTTGAAAAAAACACGGGGGTGCTTAACTTTTTTCCAGGTGTATATTACATTGCACTCACTAATCATCATCCTATATTCTCCTGTAGAAGATTAGTCAACTATTTGAAAACACCTAAGTTTTGGGTCTTTTATGAAATTCATTGCATATATGATATATTTTTAAGCATGTACAAAAATGTTAAGTTTTAAAACTTAACTTAATCTTAAACTGTTATACCTGAAAATATCTATCACATTAAATGAAGGGTAATTTGCAAATGTATTTATAAAAAGTTGAAGATAGAAAAATTAGTTTCAAGTGAGCATAATCAGTTAGTTGAATGTCATCAATTACTTAGCCCAATGATTAATCAATTAACAAATTCCACTAATCACTTTGACTACCATATTATGTTGTATATGAATAACTTATTGAAAGTTGATGTGTTTCTTGAATCATTTTCTTGTTAATTTGCTTCCAGATACTGTTGATAGCAGCTTTTTAAAAGATCAAAATGTTTACAAAGTGGAAATAAGAATAAAGCAGGGAAGAGCATTTGTAGAATGTTTACTTGAGCCACCTCCTATTATTGGACAACCCCTTCCAACTCTAACTATTCATGGTCATTTTCAAGGCCAAAGGTCAAAATCCACACCAGTCCCAGCAGTTTGTGAACCAGAATTTTTCTGCACATTAAGCTTTGATTTACACGCCAAAACACAAGGTATAGCTAAAACATTCTTCCTTCATTTTTATCAGCTGGAAATTGTTAGAAACATTAATTAAAAAGATACTCATGGTGTTTTCTATTTTTTAAGGCCTCATAGCATCTGATGTTCGTGCATCCAGCCTTTCAGAAATTGACAGTCCTGTTCATTTAGTGTTAGTTCGAACTGAACCAAATGGTGAAAACAAACTTATGTCATCCTGTTTTCTAGAGTGGAGAAAAGTACTCACTTCACCTAATGGTTGTCTAAGCATACATACTGAATTGAAAGGAATAGGTAGGGATAATTATTTTTAAACTGATGTTCAAATTATCTAAGAGATTATGTCATGTCTTTTTTTATAGAGTTACATTTAAAATTTAAATAAACAACTTTATTGTTCATGTATGTTAGTAAGCTAAGTTTATAATTCAGATTTTATATTATGTAAGTTTCAATTTTGTAATTTAAAAATGAAAACAAAATTAAATAAATTATCTGTTTTCAATTTTGTGTGTCACGTGGCATCCTTGCATTCCAAATCACTTGTTTTATATTTTCTTTCTACCCTTTTATGGGATTCAAAGTGTCCAATTAATTACATAACTCGTAATAATATATATTGATAACCCAGAATATAAACTTAGAACCTCTAACCTTCTTCCTATATTTCATGTACTACTCTACCTTTTAAAAAAATGTAATTCTCACTGACATTGCTGTTGGACTGTTTATAACCAACAGAAAAGACATCTTTTTCTTTACAAGATTCTTCTTACAAATTATTTCTTTTTGCCATACATAGTAGATATTTGGCCTCAGTCTCACTGTTTGCAATCTTGGTGTTCAGCTTCAAGCAGATAAGTTTTTAATCTATTTATAGTTAAATTATAGTAGTTTTAGGACATTATATTGTAGTACCTAATAAATATTTTATAATCTCAAATACACATTTGAAATAAACATCAATTATTTTGTGAGCAGTGAACATTATTACAAAAAAGTACGTTTGGAGTAACTCATCCTGAATGACAAAAGGTGTAAGTTCAGATGTAAGGAATACATTTCTTGTTGATTTTTTTTTTTAATTTTACTTATTGTTAAAAAATTAACTAAAATATAAAAGCTATAATCTTATTAAATTAGATAAGTATAATTAAAAATTGTTTTCAACATTTCTCATGATATTTGATTTCCTTACAATCAAGGCAATCAAGTACACGCGACATAGCATAATTGTAATTCGATTGTTTGTTCACACAAAGCTATCCTGCTGTGATAAATGATTTTTCCCATTGGTTTTTAGCATACTCTGAAATGGTCAAAGTATAGCTGTAAAAAAGCTGTCATGTTAAACTTATATTAAAGTTTTTCTTCATTACCCATTTAAGCCGTCTCCAGCCATTATTAAACTTGATATTTGTTTAGAAAGTCTGTTTTTTTCTCTAGTGCTATATTGTTTTTTGTTCTTGTTGGTTTTTTGTTCCATCCACCTGGTTGCAACTTCGCTTTCTCTAGCTATAACAGTTCTACTTTAGTCGACATTTAACAATGTATGCCAAATATATATATACGTGTTTGTGTGTGTGTGTGGAAGAAAAAAGTCTAAAAACCCAGGCATTCCTTTCAAGCATTTTCTCCAACTGACGCAACAGTGACAGTATACAATATCTGTTCATGGACCTAATGTTAACTTGTAATCCACTTAGGTCATTTAATAGAACACAAGCCACCATGTGAGAGGTCTTGGATTTCACTCTTTGGTGAGGTATTTTTAACATCATGGATAACTTAGCTTATTGAGCTGTGATGAACTGTGGTGTACCAACAAGTTAACTGCATTAACTTGCATTCATGCATCAAGTCATTAGTTGCTTTCTACCTATTTCTTCTCCATTTCATGTTGCTGGTCATTTTGTTTCTTTGCTTTCTGTGGAGTCTGCTTTGCCTGTGGATGAGTTTCACCAGATCTTCCACCTCCAGCCTTTGTTTCTAGCTATTCTCTCTCTCTGAAAGAAAAGTTACTTCTTCCTTTTCTGTTTCCTGTGCTCATGAATCAGGTTGTGATATTCTATATTTTTACCTGTATATTATAATGTCTTTGTTTGTTTTACTTTGTGTGTCTTTTGTCCCAACCATACATTGTTCCACATCTTTTTTTGTCCTCCTCGTCTTTGTGACTCATTTTCAAAAGGCCTCGGGTCATGGTCTTTTTATATTTTTTTATCCCCAATGTCTTGTGTCTTTTCTTTCTTCTTTTAGTGCTCCTCTTTTGTCTTTCATCCCAGCTGTCAGTTTGTTTTTGTCTATGTTTACCCTACTCCCTTAGCTTATTTCTGTCCTTCTTCTCACTGAGGCTCTTCATTACAATCCCAATAATTTTGATGGAGATGACTGTTCTTCTTAGTTTGGCACTTTTGTTCCTTGTTGTTCTCCCTTCTGCACAGCTAACTATCAGTCCTTTTCTCACTGATCTTCTGTGTCTTTGTCATCTTCAGGGTATGATGTCCCTTTTGTTCGTTGAGGGCCCTACTGGAAATTCCAGCTAATGCTAACTGGCTGGTAACCAGCAGTTGTTAGAAATTGGAACAAATATTACTGGTCCTTCCAGTAGTTGCTAGTTACATTGTCACTTATTAACCCAGTGGATCCATATACCAGTTTTTGCTTTTTTTTAATGTTTAGTGTCATTTATATTTTTCTTTACAACATGTAAAGAATATTTGATTTATATTAGATGAAAGAGAAATGCTACAGTGAGTCAAAAATGCTATCAGGATATATTTTTATTCAACAACATTTTACACAATAATAATAAAAGTACAGCTACGTATTTTTTCATTAAGATTCAGCCTGGTTTTTTTCGTTTTTAATTATTTTTTTCATCACTGTCTATAAATACATCATTTCTGTCAGTGATACATCTTCCTATCCTTGAATATATTGAGGCCAGTGCTCCTTCTGGTAGGATTTTTTTCTTTTCTAAACAGTTTTGAAGGCATTCTGAAAAAAGAAGTATACACAAAAAGTGATTCTAGTATTAATCTTTGACTACATCAAAACGCTAAGTTACATGAATTTACTTGGCATTAAAAAAAGAAGCAAATCATTTTTGTGTTTTATATTTTTGAAGGGTTAAAGCTTTTTGTAAACTGCCAGTAGTGGTACAAGTCCTTCCCTCAATGCTTCTCTCTCTCTGAGCAGCTATGATCTCTGAACTCCTATAGCCAAACCTTTAACAGAGAATCCTTCTGATGTTTCTAAATGTGACTCCACCTTCTTCTCTCAATCCATACATCACATCCACTGTGTATCTGGTGTTAAGAAAGTCAAACATTATGAAATGTATATATATATACATAAAGATACTTGTATATATCATTCCATACTAAAAGCAATGAAAACTTAAAAACCTTAGAAAAATAGGAAAAATATATAAAATACCAGGTTACCAAATGATTTAGAAATATGATCTTTTAAATTAATGTTTAATAATTATTTGTAAAAATTAAAACCTATAATTTCTGACAAAAACAATTAAGGATAAATATTATATAAACTTTATATGTATTATACTTTTATTTACAAGATTATATATTAAGTATTCTAATCTCAAATATGAAATCTGTATGATGGCACCTTTATACACTTTTGTCATTATACTATTCTGTATTGGAAGTATTCACTTATATAATTATGTCAGTTTTATATCAGTCAGCTTGAAGGAAACTGTCTAATGTTACAAAATGATAATACCAGAATGAGTGTACAAACATTCATATCTCGTGAAGACTAGTATTCTCAAAACCAGTTTTATCCCACTGGAATGTTTAAAATTAAAGAAAAAGCAAAGATTGACCTAAAACTTTTTAGTTACATTTTACTTGCCATATGCCAAGTAAGAAGATAAAAAAATAGTATAGAATTAAAAGTAGAATAATTGCTACTTTTCTTCAGATACCTATCAGATAAATTAGAACAGGTCTTCTAAGTAATGTATATATACACTAAAAACACCAATTGTAGCAGCAGTAGTTTTTTCCATTTTACAAACATTACAGCATATCAGAATACATTAAATTACAAAGCTTCAAGTGTTACCATTTATTCTTAATAATAACAATAAATACACACTGACTTCAGTAACTAATCAGTAAAAGCCTTAAAATTCAGAAATTTAATATGGTCAATATGGAATCCAGTTTTATATGGCTTATTTTTTACAGTAAGGGCACCTTGTTATAGAGGGTTGATTGGACACAGTCAGAAGGGTGCCCTTAATGTTGAGGTTCTACTGTATTTCTTCATCACATGCAGGTGGCTGGTTTGCTTTTGGTTTATTGGGAGTACTTTCAACACAAAAAATAATGGATTTCTTTTTTTAGCAGATTTTTGGTATTTTAACTTTTGTAGAAGTCCATCTGCTTTGCTTTGAAATTTTCAGTACTTCTGTTGCTTTTAGAGACAGATAAGTGCATGTATCAATGAAAAATATATACAAAAGTATATATAATTTTCTAATAATAAGTGAAAGAGCAATATTGCCTTATGATTGACTGAAATAAAGGGCTTGGATTAAATTCGTACTCCTTTAACTAGAATAATATTCTCATTCAGTAAACTCGTTATTTTGAGAGTGCATTAAAAAGTACTGTAGTGTAACTTAGTGTATGCAGCAAAAAATTTGAACATAACACAAAATTAGCAATAGTACTGTAAAACTTCTTCATTACTTGCCAACAAGTATTTATTCACTCAGCTAAAGGTTATGTTACTTTTAACAGACAGAAACATTTGTGTTTTGCTAGAGCAATAATCCACTAACAGCATACCTTTGAAAAGTGTGCTTTTCTTTGTGTGTTATATCCTTCCCATCATCTACTTCATCAATGCTAGTGTCTACTATTTTAGGACAATGCAATCTTTTTACAGACTTTAAAACACACTCTCAGTACTTCTCCTGTTTTGAAACAAATAAATTAGAAATATGTTGCAAAACTCCTATAGTTGAAAATTATACACACACACACACATGCTCACCAATTGGAACAAAGCTCAAATCACTAAAAAAAAACATCATCACCATCACTCTCTCTGGGGTCTTAACTCCAGAGGAGTATTCTTTGCATATCAACTTTTTGGAACTAAATGTGGCTTATTGGACTTTGCCCTCTTACTCAGTTGCAGTTGTACAGTAAACTTGTGACAATCAACTCTGTGGTCATTACTTCAGTCAAGTTCCAGGGAGGCACCTGCTCTTGGGACTTGTGCTTTCTCTCTCTGATCTTTCTTTCTGG